TTTACCTTTAGATGAAAACTACAAATAAAGTACAGTAAGACCCCGCTTAATGCTGATTTGATATAATGCAGTCTGCTCAAAGCCTTAAAAAAAAAGTTCAAAATTTATGCAGATTCAAATTAACGCAGTATTTCGTTGATTCGTATATAATATGATTATTCCCAAACACGAACCAATCAGCAAAAGGTGACAATTCGTCATAGCACCGTACTTCCCTTAAATCTATGTTTGTTTTGTGCAACTTTGAAAAAAAATATAACATCATGGATGCCATAGGAAATATCAACTTTGCTTGGCAATATTTAATTGATAAATGCATGAACAAAGTGTGGAAGTAGTTATAGCTGAAGGTATCCAAGAATTCTCATCGAGAATAGCCTATTGTTCTATCGTTAGGTTGACAAAATTGTCAACTTAATCGATACAGGAGATGTAGACAAGCAGGATATTGTGGTTACTGTAGGTTTCTGGTAAGAGCCTTACCAATAACGACCTTCAAGAACTGGCAGAACAAGGAATTCGCGTAGAACTGGAAAATAGAGATTCTGAAGACAAAGAACCCAAAAAATTTCTCCACAGTTTTTCTTAGTAAAAGTTTGGTAGCAACAACTGAAATCATTGATCAAATTGTAGTGAATGATCCAGATCTTGATAGGAGTGCCAAAGCAAAACGAGGCATTTTGGATGCGATTTTCTGCTACCGACATTTGCTTAAGAAAAGAAAAAGAAAGCAACCAATGAAACTATATGACTTCATCACAATAAACAAGAATTTCAGAAGAGCCAGGACCTCATCACAATAAATTAACTTTACATTTCTGTGTGCATATGTTTTGCACACAGAAATGTACAGTTTTGCATTATGTGTTATTTAACATATATTATTATGCAAAAATTTATATAAAAATAACTTAAAATTATAGTAAAATGTGCTTATTTTTTTGTTGTGTTTTCCCCTATCCCTATTTACTCTATGTTAAAATGGTCTCGTTTAACACTGTTTCGCTTAGTGCTTTGTCATCTAGGAATGCATCCCCCGTGTTAAGCAGGGTCTTACTGTAATTAAATTAAGGTACATCTATAATTTAATAAACAATATGATACTCCTTTCATTTATTAAGATTATTATTTATTATTTATGACTGCCATGAAATGAGTTTAAATGGCACAGGATGGCAGGATAGGAGCAAACCTCTGACATCATTTCTGCATCATCTGAACTGACATCAAATTATTTATATATACCTTTATGAGCTAACCATAAATTTCAATTGCTGATAAACCACATCCCATTCATACAAGACAACTGTCCTCACTTCTATTATGAGACTATGTCTCATAACAAAGTGAGTCACAAAAAAGTGGGATCATAAAGGATATAACTGACATACTCTACTGAGCTCATGCTGACTGGAAGAAAGATTTAAGGCTTTGTGTGGCTCAAAATGGAGATAATTTTGAGCATATTATATGTGAAACTGTACCAGTTACATCAAAAAATTCAGCTGTAACAACAAAATATTCATATTAAAATATTTTTTCTAACTTGATTTTCAATTTAAAAATCATTACTAGCACTAGATGGATTACAGATATTGAAAAACAGACTTCACTAATGCATTCCTCATGAAATTCTGATCTAAAATTATGTGTCACATTGACCCCCTTTCCATTAAACATTGTTGAGGTAAATCCAAGATAGCTAGCTGCCTTTAAGATGAATGACATACACCAACATAGTGCCAAAATGTTCCTTCCCTCACATCTAAGTGTGATACAAAGTTTTGCACTTGCACTTTGCACACATCTCTTTGTTATAAAGATATTCGGAGCAGTCCTGAATTTTGGCTCATCCTGCATTTTAAAAAATTTTAACAAAAATAATTACTAGTAAAAAGAAAACATTATACTTTAAAATAATGAAAACAAATTAGTGGTTATTAACTTTTTCAAACAAATAAATGATGCTTAAAATGGACATCTGAAATAAAATTACTTCATTTGTAAGTCATTTTATTCTAGATGTCTAGCAATAAACTTTGATGCTTTTTAGAACATAAATAATTTAACTTTTTTGAATTTTGAATTTTTCTGATCTACTGATACTGACATTGGTAATTCTCTTTCCACTGAATCATTTACTTTACAAATAAAAAGTCTGCTTCCACTCAAACATTTCTTGTCAATGAATAAATAACTAAGACCAATGTAGCTTTAAATATATTAGGTAAAATGTATGTTCTATCCAGAAAATGTTAACAGTGAACCTATTTCTCATTATTTTAAACATGAAAAATTATAATGCATTTTAACATCAATCTAAAATCTTTCCAACTAATTTCCTAAAATATAACTAAACCTCAATAATATTCATGTATGTAAATAACAAACTATCAAATTAGAATATAAAATGCTTAAAACATTATTCTCTAATCATCAAAAAATTAAATTGTTATTAATAAGCAGCTATTTTGTATTTAGTACTAAATCCCATACCATAAACAAATTACATTTCTAACATAGTACAGCAAATAGTATAAAGCATCAGAATTTTGTTAGTAAAAATACAGAAAAAATTACAATAAAAAAACAATAAATTGCAACACATTTTTAAAAGTATCTCTGACACTTCATATATAAACATCTTAAAGCCCAATGATTATTATATTAAAGCAAAACAATTACTGGATTTTCGGGTTACTTTATCCCTACTAATAATCATTAAATACCAAGTAATTTGGCACTAGAAGTTTGGTGCCTAACACTTACCTTTAGTGGCAAATTACCTGGTATTTAATAATTATTAATAATAGTAAAGTAGCCCAAAAATGCAATAATTGTTTAGATTTAATATCTCTGATAATTCTGTATATTGTAGAATTGATTACTGATAGCAAGAAAATGTGTTTAGGATTTCTGTTATAGGTTGGTGGAGTTGGTATAATACTGTAATCCCTCCCAGATAAATTTAAAATAGTCTTTAGTCTGGTTTATTTTATTTACTTATTATTATTTTTAAAGATAACCAGACTATGGAACAATATGCTATTAAATCTTTACAGTATGAATATTGTTCTGTTTTCATTAACAAAGAAATCTTAGCTAGCACTGTAGTAGACTACTAACATTTTTGTTGGGGAGAACACTTTATTTATAAGTAAATTTGACTTTGATCTCTGAGATTAATTCTAAATTACTTAATCTTTTTAAAATGTTACAAAATAAAATTAATTATAAGTATTAATTATAATTGATATTTATAATTAATACAATAGTCAGCACTGAACTTAGACCAAACCACAGTTAACATGTGATCCAATAAACAGGTTTAAAAAAAGTAGCTTTGATTCATTGCATGAATGTTTTACATAATTTAGAACAAATATACAGTAATTAATCTTTACTATTGCTAAATATCGACTTGATATCTTGCAAGTTTAACAAGATTGAGCCAGTCAAACTTGAGTCAAAGGCATCAAAAAACAGACCATTGTGTCACCCCCGTCAATGAACATAGACCACTGCATGTTTAATATTTTGTTGCATCATTTTTGTGGTTAAAACATCTTCCATATGTTTCAGCATGCTGTTGACTAGGTGTTCACATTCATCTGCCATTATGGAATTCCAGATAGTTAAGATGGAAGCTTTCAGTTCTTCAACTGTCCAAGGGCATGTTTTTCGCAGATGTCTCTTCATAATGTTCCATACATTCTCAATTGCTGAAAGATCTGGGCTGCTGCCAAGGAAGAACTTTATGTTCTTTTCTGCAAGCCACTGTTTTGTTTTTCTGCTTGTATGACATGTGGCCCCTCCTGCTAAAAAATGCAGGTTCTATTTGGATATAGCTTTGCTATGGAGAGAAGTAAATACTGTTGTAGAATGTTAATGTATTGCTCTGACACAAGCATTCCATCAACAAATGTCAACTGACCCATACCACTGGTGCTCATACATCCCCAAACCATAAAGCTGTCAGGAAACTTCACTGAGCAGTATAATAATGATGGCTCATTAACTTGACTGGCAGATCAAATGACACATTTGCTTTTGTCTGTTGCTGATAATTCAAAGTTTGATTTATCAGACCACAGAATTTCATGCCACTTTTGTTGAGACCAAGAAAGATGTTCTTTGGCTCACTGTACCTGTTTCTTCTTTTGATGTGCTGTTAGCAAAGATTTTTCATGTGCTGCATAGAACTGGAAATGCATTTCTTGCAGTCTCCTGCATGTTGTCGAAACAGATACATTCTTTCCAGTTGTATCATTCCATTTTATAGTTACATTCAATATCTGTGGCATGGTGGTTGTTTTTTAAGATTCTTTTAAAACTCCTATCATCAACTTTTAAAGTTTTTGCTGATGTCCAGCAGCTTTGTTAGGTATAACATGGCCGTGGTTGGTATAATAAACAATAATCTGGTGCACTGTTGTCTTGCTTAGCATTAGCTCTTTTCTAATAGCTCTCTCAGATATGCCACGACTTTGTTTAGCAATGATAGCATCCTTAAATCTTCTGAAACAGCTTTTCCGCTGGTCATTGTAGACAAATTGCAAAGGTTCATAAATAAAACTAAAAAAGCCCCTTATATCACAGGATTACTGCAGGCTAAAGTGAGCCTAATAATAAGTTGTTTCAGAAATACTGCAATTGTAACATTATTTAAATGCAAATTATCGGCTGGTCTATGTTCATTGGCATGGGTGGATGCAGTGGTCTATGTTTTTTGATGCCTATGACTCAAGTTTGACTGGCTCAATTTTGTTAAACTTGCAAGATATCAAGTTGATATTTAGCAATAGTAAAGATTAATTACTGTATATTTGTTTTAAATTATATAAAACATTCATGCAATGAATCAAAGCTACTCTTTTTAAACTTATTTATTGGATGACATGTTAACTGCAGCCTGGTTAAGTTCAGTGGTGACTACTGTACAATATTAATTCAATAAAAGCAATGTTATATTAAATCATTCTGAAGTTTAATGATATTACCTCAACCATTTGTCCTCATCAAAATACTGTGAGACTGAAGTTGCAGCTGGTGGTACTTCTACATCTGTTTTTTGTCTGGGGGCTTCAGACTTTACTAGAGGCTGTCTATATACATAACCTGTTCTGAAACCCTAAAAAAGTTACGTAAAATATATAAGTTAAAATTGTCTATAAATTTTAAATTTCAATATAAATAACAAAACTTTCTTTTTGTAATATACAACCTGCTTTCATAAAGGTTTGGTCCCGTAACAAAAGTTGTTATTTAATTTTGATAATTGCAGTTTAAATAAATCAGTTTTATTTACAGTGAAACCATTATCATTATAAAAAATAAGCATATTTTTACTACATTAAGATTGTAATAAACATTGCATGTTTTTTTACTGTATAAAAAATATATAAAAATCATTACATGTATCAAATAATTGGTCATGTCAGCTATTCTTACAAAATAGTTCAACCAGTGAGGATTAGTATTGTTGTTGCAATATCTTGGTTGCTTTCTATACAAGGCAAATGTTACAATAAAATTTGTCTGAAAAAATAACTTTTTTCCATTGTTGATGTGCCAGTTTGCATGTTCTTTAGCCTAGAAAAGTCTTGCTTTCTTCTGTTTAATATTAAGCATAAGTTTGTCTTTTATCTTGTAAGATAAATATAACCCATGCTCGAGTCAAAACATGCATGTTGCACTTGACACATCTTTTTCGATGGTGCTTGTCCAATCTCACATTATTTCTAGCAATGTTGCATGTTAACTAGTCTTTACAATATAGAATAGAATTCCATTTTCATGTCTACTTGTTGTTAAAGATTTTCTTGAAGATTTGCTGAACTCTCAGAACTTTTTAACAATGACAGTTAAAGGAGACAGATTCAAACTTATAGCTATCTCCCAAGCAATATGCCTTCTTTATATAATTTAATAATTATTTCATATGTATCCTTTGATAAAGCTTTTTCAAATGCCATTTTTACAATGACACTCTGAAGTTATGACTTTACAATTAATATGCATATAAATTTACATATAAAAGTAAAATTTCACATTGCAAAATTTTGTTAATAAAAACTGTTTATTATTTTTTTAAATTAAAAATAAATGATGTATGATAATTTTTAAGCAATAACTGCTGCAAGACCAAAATTTTTTGAAACAATTTTTTTTTATCATCTTATTTCATGGTTAAAATAATATGTACATAAATACTCAAAAATATTTGTCATATTTGTGACTTAGTTGATAGAAATATATAGTAATTTTCCAGTTTCAGTTCTTAATTTAAATATGTAAACATTTCCTTTTTAGTAAAAACACTCGTGTTTGAATAATGTATTCACCTATGTGTAAATAAAACATATTCAATTGAGTGTCATGTTTTCAAAAGTTATATGATAGCTTCTTGGACATGGCCGAACAGTATAACAGCAAGTTATACTAAGATGCAATGCAAATGTCAATACAGACAATTTCTTTTTATTGAATTTGCAATGAGAAAATTTTGCTCTATAATGTAAAATTTTATTATTTACAATTAGAAAATAATTAAATTGTGTCATATAAAATTTAAACTTTTTTATTTAATCACTATTTTAAACAATTTTCAGTATCATTTATAAATTGGAAAAATCTGAATAAAGTTTTTTTTCTATTCTCCATTTGAATTAAATAAATTCTTTTTTTTTTTTGTTCTTGGCTTCATTCCAATAGCCAATCTTTTTAAAATTCTTTTTCCTCTTTATTTTCCAAAATGTTTGCAAGGTATGAGACACTTCTGATACTTGCTAGTCTCAAAATGTTCCCAATTCTGAACTAACAAATAAAAAACGGCATCAGAAAGCTCAAATAGTATACACTAGTTCAAATTAAACTAGAGAGTAAGTATAAACTTTGTTCTGTTATAGGGAACAAAGAATACACTTATGACTATGATAAACCTGGAGCTATCTATGCTTACAAGAGAAATGATGGTGTAATAAATGCAGATTGCTCAAAGGAAGAGCATTCTGAATTTGTATACAAAGAAAGCTTACTGTATATAGACCACATTTAAAATGAATAACATTTTTTAAAATTAAGCCAGTACAATTTAAATTACAATAAAGAATATAAATTTCTCTATTAGACAATAATACATAATTTTACATAATAAATGTAAAATAGTATGTAATACATACATACTATTTTACATTTGGAGGTGGAAGAGATGCTTCAAATAAAAATTCAACTCCACTGTGGAATTGTCTTATCCTTCATCTGCATGAGTAAGGACTGATTGTATAAAGACATATTATGTATGTATTGTCTAATAAAGAAATTTATATTCTTTATTGTGATTCAATTACAGTTTAATATTGAAATAACTGGATAAAATCTTTTGCTATTTCATTTTCTATAATAATTTTAAACATAATCTTCAGTCATCTTAAAAGGGCGACTCTGCTGTGATTAATGATTCCCATTCAAATTTTACAGAAACAATTAGTTTACACATACTTTTTAATTAAAATTGTGTACAAATTTAAAACTTTATTCTATCAATATTGTTATTCCATTTGTAGAATTTTTAAATTTGAACTGTTGTGCTTATTCTATTAGTCAAAATTCATTTTTTAAGCTGAAGACATTTTCCAAAACGCTGAAGATATTCTTTTAATGAAAATTATATACTTGACTGTTAAGATCTTTGTTCTATTATAATACAGATATATTTTATTGTCCAGAACAATTCCAATTTTATAGAATGTATTGAATGTATAAATATTAAATATAGAAAGCAATTTGTTGTGTTTATTACTTTTAAAGATAATACTAAGAATTTTCTTTAATTTTCAAAATTTCTCCCATTAAATACTAATAAAATTGTATTCCTATAAACATAATCTGTTTTATAATTTTCAATAATTTATATATAAATTTTTTAAATTTCTATAATTACTATCTACTCACAGCATTGTCTAGCATTCTCATCAATGCTTCAAATTCTAAATCCCAAACTTTCCATTTTTTAGGTTTTTCTTTAGGTTCTGCTCTTTCCTTATCTTCATCTCCTCCAGGCATTTCTTCAGCTTTACTAAGTTGACGTTGTGCACCATTTATGACTAAATCACGGATCTTTTCTTTAGTATCATCAGTCATAAGTTGTATATTGTCTAAACCAATTGGCATCAGTCTCACCTAAGAAAATTAAATTAAAAAGTCTATATAAATATAAATTATGATATATAAATATAAATAATAATATAAATTTTAAATAATTAAATATTAAATAATATAAATCTATACTAATATTATAAAGAGGTAAAGTTTGTAAGTTTGGATGTAAGAGGTAATCTCCAAAACTACTCATCTGATTTCAAAAATTCTTTCACCAATATTTAGAATGGAACTTCAGGGTAGACATAGGCTATATATTATTCTGTTAAACATTCATATAAATTAAAAGATATCATCTAGGTAAGTGTTATATTTTTGGTGTCAGTGGGTGGCGAGGGCAAGACGCATACATATATGAGATAGGTAACCATGCAGCGCAGTCACGTGGTCAGCAAGATACTCAGTGCACATGTCTGAACTTGTAGTATATAAAGTTGACACAGGGAACGCATGCACATAAGTTTGCTTTATTCGAACTCTTAGTCTTAATGTTCAATTTTATATCCGAATTTATATTTATGAATGATTCGAGAAGATCCAATTTATTTTTTGAACTTAATAAACTAGAAGAATCCAGATGGGGTTATGAAAACATTTGTTATTTATCACTTAGTGGTACTACGCACTGGTTAGTGGTTGCTGTGAATCTTAATTATCGTTATCCCAGTGTGGTAAGCAGGTATCTAAAAATTTTCTAATTAGTCTTGGAAGAGGGGGAACTAATTCTTGCACTCGGTGAAAATGGGTAAGATCGGCTATAATCTAACAATCTTAATCTTTGCTATAGTTTTTGTTCAAGCAATATCGGGCTCATCTGCTAGTAACAATATAAATTTAAATCAATATAAATATAAACATAAATTACGTCAACTTTTATTATGGTAAAACAAAATTCTTAGATCTTATACAAATATAAATATTTTATAATCAAAGAATTAAAAAAGTTACAGCCCAATAATGAATTTGACTATATTTTGTTTATTAACCTATTCAATGTTGAAATTTTTATTTGTTGCCGGTGATGCTATGTTGAATTTTCGTCAATGTTAAGCCTAATTTTTTTTTTTAAATAAGAATCGTGTTTACTGTATCGTAAAAAATTATTTTTTTATGTTTCACAAACAAAATAAATATATTGAATAATATAGAAACAAAAAAAAATATATTCTAAAAGTTCGTTTTAATATAAAAATCGTGACACATAGCAACATCTAGTATAAAAAATGTTCCAATGTAAACACGAAAATATTCGGGATCACCTACACAGGTCAATGAGGTCAACACGAATATTTTCAGGAACAACGTAGGACAGGTTAATATAGCTTGTACTTGGTTTCTGTATGCTTAAAAATATGCTACTCTTTGTGAAAATTGCAACACTGTGAAGAGATCATTTTATTAGCTTGAAATTTACAGAATGTGTAAATCTGGGTGTAATATACAAATGATCAAAACTGCAGAGTGACTGCACATGTCTAGGCTCAGTAGTACACTTTTTGCAGTTGAGTTTGGAGTATAAACATATGGCTGTTTAGGAGCCGCACAAGTAGTGCATCACAGATAGTAAGCTGTAAGTGTTTCTAGGACTCACTACACATCATCAACGATGAATGGCACAATATCAACAAACAACAGAGTTTGAATATGGATGAATGATTGGTCTTCATAAAGGCAGATTTTCATACCACAACATTGCTACACTTACAGGGCATAATACCACAAGTGTTGTGTGTTTGGAGGCAAAAAACCAAAGAAAACCAGGTACATCAAAAATTCAGTTAACAGATGATGCCACTAAATGTTGCCAAGAAAGTTGAGCAACTCATTGCTGGATTTTTTTAAATCCATTTGGAGTATGAATTTATACATGTCCAGTTTTATAACTAACTTTTCATGTGTCCTGTGCAAGATTTTATTTTTGGCTCACATTTTTGGAAAAAAATAAAAAAATAAATATGATAGAAATTGTCTGTTATTTTTTAACTTGTAACCAAAAATATTATGGAATTGTTCTATATGGTAGCAGAATTTTAAATTTAAAAATAAAAATATAATATTGATAATTTTTTTATACATCATTTTAGGGCTCCTTTTTGTCCTAAGCCCTGTGTATCCATTGCACCTGCCTACAATTACAGCACTGTTTAAGCCTGAAGGACTAACCAGATCTGTAGGTTTATTTTTTTTCAAAATTAGCTTTACTATTGGTATGAGTGGTGCAAGAGTTGTTAAATGAAAATTGAAATTAATTATAAAAATAACACAGACAACAAGTAATGTGATGCAATAGTTTACACAATTACAATTCTGAACTTGTTTTGAACAAATGGTATACAGTGGTGCCTCATATAATGTACTTAATCCGTTCCAGCTGCACGTCCATTAAGTGAAAAGTCCGTTATACGAAACGCATTTTCCCATAGAAATACATGTTAATACATATAATTCGTTCCGCAGCATGAAATAACCATACTGTACCATTAAAAAAATGAAAATGGAGCAGTCACCAATTATGCCGGGTAGTCAGATGTTGTGAGGAGGAGGTGGAGGAACGCTTTCTTCACACATTCATACAGATACAGACTTTTTACACATTGCACCAGGTCTATTTTTATTGTTTTTTAATCGGAGTCAGATTTAGGAGAGGCTACCGGAGCTTGCAGGGTCAACTCCTCTTGTTCAATCCTTTGTTTTTTGCCTGCTGGCTTCTTGAAAAACATGTCCAAGGTGGTCTGCTTCTCTTTCTTCAACACCTGTCGGAAATGATGGGCAAGGGTGTCATTGTAGAGATCATTGATCCTGTTGGCCTCAGCTCTGTTTGGATAATGAGCATTGGTAAACTCCTGAACCTCTCCCATTCGACAAGGAAGTTGTTGTCAACTTTCACTCCTTCTGATGATTTCTTGCATTGTTTCAATTGAAATCACCTTTCTGTTTTTTTAGAAGCCATGATTTGCACAACACTTGAATAAATGTAAATACCCTGCACTAAGGTGATGTACGTAATAAACAAGGGAGCAAGCCGAAAGATATACTAATAATATATTCTAATAACACTAATATATCAGAAAAATAACAGATTGTCATTGGCAATGGCAAAAGAGTGAAAATATCATTCGCACTTGTTCGCAGAAAGTTTGTTGTTCGCCTCACGTAACTGCCGAACAGAAAGTCCGTTGTTCGCAGCCAGTCCGTTGCTCGAGTCACGTAATGGCCAAACAGAAAGTCCGTTGTTCGAGGCGTACGTTATATGAGGCACCACTGTATATAAATTTTGAGAAATAATTTTAAATATTTGATTACCTGTGTTTCACATGCAGCTACTATATTATGAAGAAGAAATACAGCTTCTTCAATTGATTCACCACAAGTAACTACACCACGATTTCTCAGAATTAGAACCTAAATTAATAGAAAAATTAATATAATATTACATAAAATTTTAAGCATATTATAATTCATAAATCTAAAAACAATTACCACATAAATATTTCATTAAAAATTATCTATTGGCTTCAATCAAAAATTTGAATTCAATAAATTACTGCTTTATCAGCTCTATTTATCCAATAAAAATCAATAGAATTAAATAGTCCATATCATCCATCAACCATATTAAAAATAATTTTAATCTAATCAAATTATATCAAAACCAATTTATCAACTATCAGTTAAAAAATGCATTGGTAAATATAGTATATTAGTAATTTGATATTTTTTATTGAATACTATTAGCCAAATATTTGTATACACTTTCCCATATATTTATAGTTTTATAAAGACACAAAAGCATCAAATGTTTTTATTTAAATCAGTAGTGCCCAACTTTTCATTTGATAATTCAACACAAAATTTCCCTGAAAATTATTATGCACTCAAAACAAAACAATTTATGAATGAATTAATAATTATTACTATATACAGTAGTTTGGAAAAGTTTTGAAATAAAAGCAGTTTATTTTTTTGTTCTATTTAAAGCTCTATTTCCAATTTGGTTTTTTGTAAAAATCAAAACTATGTTTTGAGTTTTTTGGTTGACAGTAATTGGGGAAATTTCCAAAACATAGTGTTTTGGCAAATTTCCCCAATTACTGTCTACATGCTATTTCAAGGAGTAATTTCATTTTATTGTAATGTTTTTGCAGCTATTGTCATATTATTATTATTTCTGCTGAAAATTTTCCCAAACCTCATTAGTGCAATCAGACATATTTTGCCCTTCTGGTTTTGGTACATAGATACAACAATTTGAAACACCACCATGACTTTACAAATACACTGTATTAATAAAGTTATTTATATAACAAATACATTATAATATGTAATGAAAAGTTTATTATACATAATTCTTTTAAAAATATTTAATTTATAAATATTCATTCAAAATTTCCTTGAAAGAGTTGAAATTAAATACTAACCTTATTGATAGGACCTAGACTTCGAGCTATTTGTTCCCTCTCTTGCTGATCAATGGGAATTCCATGAAAGTCATGATAGCTGACTTCACCCAAAACTGCTGCTTCTTGGCTTATTGGTAACAAACCACATTTTGTAGCAGAAACCTAATAGTTTAAAATAATTTAAACCTTACATTATTATAATTTATATATACATTTTTATATTTATGAATAATATTTCTAAACATACAATTTATATTTCATTAAAATGATGGTAAATAATATAAAACATCATAATAACAGTTGTAGAAATTATTCTAAATTCTTTGGAATAAATTTTTCCTATTTAATAAAATTTAAGTGTAATGAATAAAAAATTTTCTATATCTGTAACTATATATAATATCATTATATTTGCTGAATTTATAAGATAAATTCTAAATATTTTAGTTGTAAAATAAATAAGCTAAACTTTAAAGCAAATTTCTCACAATAACTCCTAGATATTAGCCTAGATCAGTGTTTCCCAATTTGTGTGCCGAGACACACTTGTGTATCGCCAGAGTGTCTCAGGTATGTCACAGAAAATATTAAATATTTTTAGAATTTTGAATAAGCTGTTTTTTAAAAATTCATTTATCTTTTGTCTTTTTACTGCCAGATGACCAAATAAAGGAGGCAGAATTCACTAAAATGCCAAATTTTGCAAAATTTACAGCATCAGTGCACCCTCCCTCACAAAAGTTGTGCATCTAAATGTATACTGACACACCAACTCTGAGCTTCTGTAAATGTTGTGGCTTACCAGCTTAAAAAAACAATACTAGCCTTTTATGTATTTATTCAAATAGTCTTTTTACTTTTATAGTATATTCATAAAATTTAATTTATATCTGGTAAGTTTAACTTCTGTATTATCAAAATATTTAAAAAATAACTGTAATTTATTTTAAATTTCAAGCAGATTACAAAAATGGACAAATTTTTAATTAGTAAAGAATTTTAAACATTTTTACTTTTAAAATTTATGATGTGTTGCAGGAATCTAAAAATTCAAAGTGTATCTATCACTAATCCAAAAAGATTGGAAAACACTGATTTAGATAATGAAAATCTTCTGAGTAAAATAAGACTATAAATATGTCACAAATATTTATTAATGAAATGATATGACCATTCTTATTGGTCTACAATATGACTAATTAATTGATCTTATTAATTATATAGCCATATTGTAGTTTGAAAAGAATCCAGCTGGATCATTTGTTTAGTAATGTTTATCAGGTTTGGTTTTTATATATAATTACAAATATTTATATTTAAAAAGTGAAAGACATACATATTAAAACAATATTATTTTGAAGCCCCTAAGAGACTTTACACCATTGTTTTTGGTTTGTATGTCTTATACTTTTGAAATGTGAAATCTAACATTATATTTTTGCATTTGACTTTTATTATCAAAAATATTAATTTCCTTTATTTTTTTACAGTTTCCCTATCTCATGTCAAAAATTATTCAAAATTTAATTTAATTGAAGTTATTATCAGTTTTAAACATACAGTAGAGTCCTGCTAGTCCAAACTAATTGGGACTGAGCCCTGTTTGGATTAGCGAAATAATTAAATAATGCAGAAGCAAGCAGTAAAACAGGTCTGGTTTATATAGATCCAACATCATCAATGATGTCAGCACTCCCACCCTTTATTTCATCTATCTTGTACTCATGGAGGGTGCAAACAGTTAACAAAACCAAGTTTTGAAATTATGAAATGGCAATCTGCCTTCATTGTTTACCTTAAAGTTATTTTAACCGTAAAAATTGTTTTTAATACACAGTCTAGGATTCCAATCAGATGACTGATGCTACTGCGTGAGTTAGCATGCTTCATTGTAAATGTTGTATGTATTCTTCGCTCTACATTATTTTAGTTTACTTTAGTCTGCTGCTGCAATGGCCACAAAATAGAAACACACAACATGTATTTTTGAAAGATAAGCTGGATGTTTTGAAAAGGCTAGACAAGAGTAAAAGTGCATCAAAATTAGCAGTAGGGTTTGGAGTGGGCAAGGCTACAATAACTGACTGGAAAAAATACCGCTCATAGATTGAGCAGTTTTGTGCCTCTACTTCAGAAAAATTAGTTGAAAATCAACAAACAGCATTAGCAGTCCTCAATGTTTGACAAGCTTGATAAAACCTTATTCACATGGTACTCTCAGAAAAGAGTAATGGGAACACCCCTAAGTGGACCTCTTGTTAGAAAAAATTTCCTCTCTGCCAACCGAAACATGTTCAGATTAGGCAGATGTTTGGATTAGCAGGATTCTACAGTATTTCAAAATATAATGTAAACTCCAAATAAATTAGATCTGAAGATCACATAGTGGCAAGAAACTTATAGCAATGGAGACTATTTATCATCTAACTAATCATTTAAGCTGGATATACACTGACATAGCAAAATCATTTTTGACTAAACATGCTTAAAACTGCTTTTTCAATGGTTTACATAAAACCCAATGAACAGTTATTTTAAAAAATGCAAAAACATGATAAAACAAAATTAAACAGTTTTAGACAAAATGTTTTGTCTAAAGACATTTTTGTTTGATCAGTGTGCATTGAAATTGAAATATTTTAGTATCCAGAAAAATGTTTTATATAAAGATATTTTTACCCAAGAGAAGTGGTCCTTGAGAAAAGACCTCTAATACATTTCCACAGCAAAATTTATGTATAAACTGTATCATTAAATGTAAACAGGTTTCTTTAATATGTCTATTACAGTCAGTTTTTCAATTAAAATAGCAGAAAAATGTTCTGTGAGGGCCAAACTTAGTGGAATTATTTTGTTTAATAATTTTTTTTTGTTGAGAAAAAAAATTAGAGACAAAACAAAAACCAACATTTTTAAAGATAATTAAACTGTTTCTCACGGACTTATTTCCTGGTTGAAGATGATATATCAAGTGTGTCACCTGGAATTGGCGACAGAAAATTCAACTATTGGACAGTGAAAGAAAAATTCCTAAAAAGGCCATGGGAAAAACCCAATGGCAACCCCCTAATAAAAGGGAGGGGTTGATGAGTCAGACAGAGTCCTGGAGTTAACTTTGAACTGTGCGTGTGTTGGCCGCCGCTTGCTATTCGTCACCACCCTAACTGTTCCTGATTGCCATCACTCTGAGAAATTCATCGCCACTTCAAGATTCCCTATGTGTGAAAAACTCCGACTACCATTTTGTAAATTCTACAAGTATTTATCCTCTCGCAAACTTAATGTGAACTCTTGCTCTCATTATCAGTCATAGTTAGGTTCGTAGTAGTTACGTAATATGTCAACTTCAGATTAGCTTTGGTTAAATATAATCTGTAAATAGTCTATATCGAATAATAAAAGGGTATTTTTATTTATATGAAAATTTGTGGAGTGTATTTTCGCTGGTTTTCTCCTTCCACCTCCATCTCAGATCCTAAAGTCCGCACATGCAACTGTTTGAAATAACAAGAAAAACAGCCAATCCGGTTTCTGTGTCTGTCTGCAAGAGACAATGGAGTCATCCTGACAAGGCATCAAAGAGGTGCCGACACTGCAGTCACAGTTCTATTATGACTTCTAAAAATCAGCTGTTGAACAAGAAAACAGAGTCACTGCCATTTTTTTATGTTGCTATTTTAAGGCTCAAAATACTTATAGTTGTAAAATATAGATATTAGCGAGGTTGTGACTGAAGTTTTTATCTCTAAAACATGAATCATCAAGTGCTTCTTACAAGATAGCGGTGATCGATGTTTGACATTCATGTTCTAGAGATGAAAACTTCAGCCACAACCTCACTATTAAATTTTGCCATAGTTATTTTAGAATGTTGATTTTGTTCAATTTTAAAAGTTTGTTATTTATAATTTTTAACAAGACAATCAATTTAATCTTGAAAATGTTTAATGTGTTATTTTCACATTTTCAATTAAAAAATAAAAAAAACAATACACTTTTAACAGTGGGTAACATTTAAGAAAACATATGTTTTTAACCCATTAAGAGGTGATCTAAAAGAATGTAAGAGGAATGCTAGTGTGAGATAGGAAAGATGGATTTATTGTATTATGAAAAGAAGAAATTGAAGAAAGATATCTCAGATTAATTGTTAAACTGATCAAACATTTTCAAAGTTTCAGTTGTGATAATCAAATTAAAACATTATACCACCATTAAACATATAGAAGTGATTTATAATAGTTGTAGCAATTTTCCATTGATTTCATTAGCAATCAAAAATTAATGATGTATTTTATCTCAGCTAACATAAAATAAACAAGAACAAATTTGCAGATAAAAAAGTTCCTATAGTTATTTACATGAATTATATCTCTTGTATGTGATAGAACAATACTATTAGATAACTGGATGGCCAAGAAAAGTTAAGATGTTAGCCCAGGAGTGGAGAACCTTTTCTCATTTGAAAGCCACACGAGAGCTAACATTCTTCCAAGGAAGCTACATTCTAAAAGAATAACCAAATTTACTGCAAAATGCAAATAATTTAATACTAATTTAGCTTTTATACAGAATTAACCCTTTCAAGTAACTTATACTGCCATATAGCAGAGTTATCATGGCCAGATAACAGTTTTTACTGAGAATCATCTTTTAGAGTAATCACCATATTGCCAAAATTAGTTCACATCTGTTAATCAATGTCATATATATAACAATATGAAATTTGTTTAAGAAGGCCACATGCTCCAAAGGGCCAAATGCAGTGTTAAAGCTGCAGGTTTTCCACCCATGTTAGTCCAAATGCTCTTGGGACATAGGAATTGAATTTGAGAAAACAAACCTGGAAATTTTTATAGGCAGTTTGTCCCAGATATGTCAAGTCCTGTCCTTCATACCCCAGCTGCCCCCATCATGGCCTGGCTGAACCTAGGATGGGTCTGACTAAAAAAGGACCTTTTAAGTGTTCACAGAGTAGAGAGTCAAAAATGAAAAAACAAACAGAAAAAGATCAGAGATCAAATATCAAAAAGTGCTAAAAATTTTTATATATGTAATATTGGTTTTTTAGTATTATTTTGATTTTTAGGCATCATAAAATATAACCAGGGACAAAGATTTTCAATGAAATGTTAGCTAATAGAAAGTATCTAAACAATTCCAATAATGACAATTATATGATAATTTAAAGATTAGTCTAAAAACTGTATTTTCTTTGATATTCTTGCTTTTTATTATTTATTATAATGAATTAATTTTAAATTATTTGTATAGTGTTATATATTTCATTTAAACATCTCCTCAAGAACTGGTATATATTATCTAAAAATCACACCAGTACATCCTCAAAAATATAGTTTCTTCTCAAATGCTATAATCTAAACCTGTTCCCGATGTCTATTTACAACAGTACTGGTATGTTTTTAGTGTTATATATTAAAAATGACTAAAAGAATATTGAGAATATTTTCTTTGATAATATAATATAAATATCATTTAAAGATGATATGAATTTTGATATTAAAAGATAAATTCTATTCATTAAGAATATGATATATTTATTTTATTTAAAATATAACACTTTAAATTTTTCAATAGTTTGTATTAATAAAATTTCATTTCAAACATAATTCTTAATATAATCATATAAAGCTTACCGCAACACAAGTAGGATAATGTATATGAATAACACATTTAATATCTGGCCGTGCAGCATGAATAGCAGAATGAAGAACAAAGCCTGACCGGTTGAAAGAGAAATTGGTAGTTCCTGGGTCAATAACATTACCCTGCATATCAACTTTTAACAGAGAGGATGCAGTAATTTCATGATATTGTAAACCAAATGGGTTTAATAGAAAATGCTCTTGATCTTGACTTAATCTGACCTAAAAATTTAATCAATAAAAATATTAAAATTAATAGAAGAAAAAACTTATTATGTATTTGTTATATCTATAGCTATTATATATATATATAGATATACTTTACTTTACACTATATATTACATATATATATATATATATATAATACTATAATACTTAGCTTAAAATTGTCATGAATGTTTTTCTGTTATAATAAAAAAAAAAAAAAATTGGAAACAATGGCATGGGAACTTACTAAACTGTCAAAGTTTTTGTTATAAATAGTCTATATTAAGGAGTCTAAGCAAATGGAGGGGAAAACTGTATGTGGCATTCAGGAAAAAGTATAAATGGTAATGCCAAGAATCAATGAAGTACCACAAAGTTTATAAATGGGCAAAGCTTTTGGGACAAGCAAGCAAAGCAAGCAGAGACAATGTCTCCTACTCATATAAAAAGTTTCATATTAAAAATTATTTTATATCCAAATTAAATTTTAAATTCAAATTCTGTTATTTTAATTTATTTAACCACTTTATCACAGTATTTACAATCCAAAAAGGATCACATAATTAAAACTCAAACACATTTTGTGCCATTTTTATTATCATACTGTACTTAAAAATTAAGCAAGAAATATTTTAAAATTTCATTTACAAATTTAAAATGCACATAGGCAAACATATATTTTTATCTGTAATTATCAGTAACAGTGAAAATAATGTAAATAACAACTGGACCAAAAACAAACCATGAAATTAAATCTTTAATGGCCAGTACGTGTTTTTTTAAATAAACAAATGTTTTTGACTAACTTAATTAGTCATAGCCAAGTTCAAATACAAACTTTTGTATTTGGAATCTAATGGTGAGTACTTAAAGTAGCAAAAATGTTTATTCATTCGAAGAGTACCTGCTGGACTTTAAACATTTAGTTTCAGAACAGTGAAAAAGAAAAATGTCATAATTTATAAGATGTTCTATATATAATCTATCAAGGATGTCTATATGATTTTACAGTATAGCATTGCTTCAGACAGCATGCCATACATTTCTATCCCGTGGCTTAAAGATGTCAAACTGTTCATATCCTATCAAATCAAACATGGGATGATAGCTGTTAGGAGGGTCAACTGGTTAGTTGATACTGATATGGACATTTCTGATTAGTCATAGAAGACCCCATCAAGAAAATATAAGACCTCTGATAATAGTATAATAAAAGAGTTTAAAAAGTGAAAAGAATAACTATAAATAGTCCAGAATAGCAGACAAAGAATAGGAATGGTAAATATATGATACATGTTCCAAATTTTGCATATCAAATGATTAAGTAACATAAAATAATATTTTATTTTTTTATTATAATGCACTACCCTTCATATTACAGGCTACAAATACTACAAAAATGTTACAAATATTTTTTCATATAATACATAATCATCAAGTAAGCAAAACAGTGTAGTAAATATTCTAATTTTAAAGCAAGGAGTTCTAATATAGTAATTAATTGGTTCAAATTTTTTCTTATCCACAACATGATATGTTCATTTCAGTTTGTTTTTAATAAAAACAAATGCAGATTTATTTTCACAATTTAGCTATCACTAATAGTCATGGCAACACATGCACCACATATCCAATTGACAATAAGTCAGATGTAAAAAATTTTATAAATAGTATGAAGCAGAAGACTTCTATTAAATAAGAATCTTTGTGAAAAACAGATAGCTATTTTATTTTTATCCAAATCTTTTACTTTTATTTAAAATATATTCACATGTAAATATATTTATTTTCTCATGCCAATTAATTCCCATTTTCCATCCTTGTTCCAGACCAGAGAATGACTAGGGATGACCAATATATATATCCAAAGACACTAAATATATATTATACTTCATATATTATGTTCTTGATATAAACAGTACATAATTAATTTACTGGAATTTTGATTTATATTCCTAAGCATTATTTTTCCAAACAAGATGACTATCCATACCTTAGACATCATTCTAGTTAAATTTGAACAGTTGTAATCACCAAAAAGTAACTTATTTATGCATGATATTTTTATTTAGTAGCACAAATACAATAATCAAATGTAATGATAATAATTTTTCTTAAATAGTAACAAATAATTTTAATTACATCAAATTAAAATTTCAATAATTTGTTACTTTTGAAAGTGGTATAAAGTCTATTTGTGATCAACAAAAGCATTATTTTATTTGGGCAATGTTTATGCAATTTTATTGTGTGATCATATTTATGTCTAAAATCATAAAAACATAGCATTCCATAATATTTTTAAAGTAGTTGAAATGCAAAATCTTAAATATTTCAAAGAAAACTTAACTTATACTACTTTTAAAAAAGAGGCTCATTATTATTATTATATCATCCATAAAAGAACCTTCATTCTAATGTTAGATTTGTTTGATAAATTTATCTAAAATATCAAAGATTATGCCTGGAATACTGATGTATTTTCAAAACAGTTTAAACAAAATTAAGAAAATCTAATCCTAATATTTAGAGCACATAGCAAAAACAGTGGACAACCACTGAGGTTTTCCATTCAATGTCCATCCTTGCTTTTATTCTGGCAATTGTTCTGAAATGAACCTTCAACATGTTTTGAAGGGGAGATTCCATCATTCAATCCTCTTTTCCAGTATGTTGATATCACATGTGTGCTCCATGTGGTATCAACCTACTTAATAGCCCACTATCATACTAGTGGCTAGTAGCTAGAATCAGCACTGTCTACCTATTTGCTGACCTGCATTGTCTAATTCACATTGTATATGAGGTTTATCAGTGCTATGATCTTTATCACTCATGCTGGACAATGGTTGTAAGAGTGATGAAGCCAGGGGATGCAATTGCTCCCTTGCATCCCCTGGCTGAAATACTGTATTTGTAATCTTTTATAATTATTCATCTTTGTTGCTGGAGGATACGAGTTGTAACACCACACATTTTTCAGATTTTCAATCAAAAGCCATTTATGGTCACTTTGTTAGCTTCATTTGTTGTACCAAGAGTAGTATTGCACATGTAATTGTTGAAGAAAGTTCTTTAAATCACCAGTTGTGAAGAGGTATCATCTAAGACAGTGTTCCGCAACCTTTTTCTACTTGCGGCACACCCATGACTCAACACGGCACACCAAAATGTTATTCTCCTCAAAAACGTATGATATGATACTATTAATAGAATTACGTAATGCCACTAACCTATTATTGTTATTAAGCAGACATCAACACCTGTGAGCAATTTCTTTTTACATATAATTTCTTAAAATACATAAAAATGTGTGGCTTGTAATAAAGAATAAACAAATATCATCTTATTTCATCAGTGCTGCGGCAGAGAATGAAATACAAGCATAAGAAATACAACAACTGTGATAAAAATATATAAATAAAATTTGAAATTAACATAATATGTAAAAGTTCACGTCACACCTTTCACCATGTGACGGCACATCAGTGTACCGCGGCACACCGGTTGAGGAACACTGATCTAAGAGATGAATATTTAGTGTCAAGTACAGCACAAAAACTTTCCTATTTCAGATAGCTTTATTTAAGAATTTATTTTTAAGATTTTATAAAGCAGAAGATGCTATTGATTCATTCAGTCAAATGTACAACCACATGTCAAACAGCAGAAAAATCCAAAGATGGCCTCTATCATTTTCTATGCCTTTCTCTAAATATCAATAGTGAATTGGATGTGGTTATTACAATAACATATATAAAAAAGATACAAATCAGAGTCAAAAAGGCAATATACAAATATTTTAGCAAAGAGCTCATGAGCCAAGGCTGGGCCAGTACCTGAAACTTCTAGGTAGAAAGTAATTTCTGATAACCATAATTGGAAATGTTCTCAATATAGATGCCACCCCAGGCTTCTCAGAAATTCAACAGAAAGGAAAGCAGAAGATATGTGCATTCTGTCTTTCATCTGTGCAAAATATGATGAGGTTTTTCTGCAGACAATGTTTATATGTCATGTATGGAGAGCACCAGGGAGAGAGCATGATGCCCAAGTGTAAGCTGTGAAAGGACACAAAATGACAGAATAAGTGTTAGTTTGTGTTCAGTAAACAATTGCAATTTAAGACAGCTATTGTTTATAAAATGTTTGTAAGAACTTAAAAATTTTAAAAATTATAAACTGCATTATTATAATTTTATTTCTCAAAATCTGTTTTCCGTGAATCTTG